GTGCATAGGCCTATGGGACTTGTTTGGACCACTGAAAACCTCAAATTTGTTGAAGGAACCAAAACCCTAATTTTGACTGGCTTAGGAGATGGTTTGACTGTGCAATCCCTTGAGTGGTCTTGAACCATTTGAGGATGGTTCTTGACAATCTTTGAAGAATATGGGAGGGCAAATTTTGGGGTACAACAGTGAGGTTTTAACCGGATAGCTAAAGTTAGGCATTTGATTTAAATACAGTGAGAGCGCTTTAAAACGAATTAGACTTTATTAAGTTTTCAAAGAGTATTTTCTAAACACTTATGGGCTAGCGAGAGCAGGCATAGGGTTTTAGGGGTATAATCCGAGATAAGACCACGAGAGTGTGAGTTGAGGGTTTTTAAACTGATAATTTCTACAGAACCATTTAAGTTAAACATCTTTATATGCTTAGGTTTGATTAAATCCGCTTAGGTTCACTATATTACATACCGACCGCTTTATTATTATTATTATTTCCTTAGTTCGATTTAGTTTTCCTCTACTTTAACTTCTAAAAACCAAACGTGACAACATCCTCCTTAGCTAAACTAGCAAACCTTTATAGCACTAGAGTGATTACAAAGTCCCTGTGGGTTCGACATCTTTTTATTACTACTGTGATAGGCTGTGCACTTACAGTTAAGATACCGTTAGACACATTAGGTCGATCGCACATCAAATATATGAATTATTTGAATTAATTTTGAAATGTGTTATATGTGTAGTAAGTGTGAGAATATCATTATAAAGTAATTGGGTCTTATATGTCACATTAGTGTGAGTGGGTGAGATAAGTCCATTAGAGTAAAACAATAGTTTGTATGTAAAACAAAGAGAAAATAAATTTAGAGAGAGAAATTGTCAGAACAAGAGAAGAGAAGAAAGAGGAAAAGAGGAGAAAAGAGAAGAGAAGAAGGGAGAAACCTAGAAAAGGATCTACATCTAAGGTAAGGGTGAATTTTCATTTGATTATGAGAATATATAATGTATGTAATGGATAGAATACACGATTTAAGGATTTAGATTTCAACTTCTAGGTTTTTGACATGCTTAGGTTTTGATGAGAAATCCTTGAATATGATGAGTAATGGTGTTGTAATAATATGTGTTGATGGTAATGATATTTTGGGGTTTGAATATGCAATGTTTCATAAAATTTGGAGTTTTAGAATTGTGATGAAAGATATTTTCGTACAAGTACTATTCATTTATGTCAATTCTAACAACAATTTTTGTAAAACTTCAAAAATGCATAACTTGAGCTTCAGGTGTTCGTTTGACGCACTGTTTGAATCTGGGAAAAGCTAATACAATGTACTTTCTTGTATAAATGGTTTCATATTCTGGAAATAAATTTAATTGGTATTTAATTGGGTTTTGTGATGCCAGTGTATGATGTCGGTGTTTGTAATTTGTAAAAGCTTCATAACTTCATAACTTTTGAACCATAGTTTCGTTTGAGTCCCCGTTCGAAGCGTTAGAAAGTTAGCGCAATAATATTTTCAATAAAAATGGTCTTACTGGTAGTAGGTGATTTAATTACTTCTTGGTTGTGTAAAATGACAAGTATTTGTGAATTGTGTTATTGTAATATGGTGATGTTGCGTTATTATTATTGATTATAACATGATGAGTTGATAACATGTTTGATGAATGGTGATACCATAATGTTGTGTTGTGTGGTATGCATAATATGTTATTGTGGTGTGTTGAGTTGATTAATACTATGATAATGCTATGAACATGATACTTGAATTTTGTGTAGATGTATGTTGTGAATTGAAATTGGATGAGAATAACATTGTTAGGCATTGTTTGCTATATGTTATTATGGTGTGTTGAGTTGATTAATGATATGAAAATTTTGTTATACCCCAATTTTTGCCCCTAAGATTCCTCATCATTTCATATCATTACAATGCATCAGGATCTCACATTAGGGTTGATTATCTTTTCTACTCTCTCTCATCCTTAAGTTTATCTTTAAGAGATCACCAAGCACCTTGAATTATGTATCTTGTATATGTATGTTATGTTTATTAACCTCTAACAAAAAAAGATGTATGTTTCTTTTCTATACTTTGCAGATTGTAGGTATTGAGCCAAATGCATCTCTCTCACATCCTAAGCTAGGGTTTTTGAAGGACGGTCCTCATGTTAATTGGTTATTTGGTGGATTTTAAAGGCTTGAACTTCAAGGATATGAGTATGGAATTAAAGTTATTAGAAGACTCTCTCAACTTCATTTGGTCATACTTATCTCAATGTTTGGGATTGGATTCATCAAGAAGATTCATAGGTTCATGAGTTTATTTCCATGCCTTCTTCAATAGGTTAAATAGATTTGGGTCCCATTATTAAATATACTTCAAGATAACATCATTCCAAGGTCTAATGTGGTTCATCATGATTTAATTTGCAACAAATGTCCAAGAGATACAAAGTTGATTCAAGAAGTTTGACCTAACTTGATAATTCCTTGATTATATGGCCACAAGTGCATAACTTTCTCAATTTTCAATATTTTCATATGCTTATTTTTGCCATGGACTCTTATCATCATTACTAGCAACTTCTCTTTGTATGACAAGATCCAACCGTGAAAGGAAAATCATCAAAGGTTAAAGAATGTTACAAGTCACTTTTGCATGGTTTAAGTAAGGGTTTATTTACCTTTAAAAGAATCCTTAATAACTTCTCTTCAAGGATCTAAGGCCAATTTTGAGTGGAAAGTCATTTAAGTTTGAAGAAGATTACAAGTCCTTTGAGGAAAACATTGAAACCTTGAGCTTGAATTCAAAATATCATAACTTGGTCAATTTTTGTCTCCTTGAGCTCATTATTTTTGCACAATAAACTTGAGGATGTATACTACAACTTTGATTCAAAGATCAAGATCTAAAAGTGTGTGGAAAGTTATCTAATTTGTTAAAACATTATAGGTCATTTGTGGATTTCTTAAGAAATTTACACCAACTTTCAAGGACCATAACTCTAACTTTTTTTATGATTTTTTAATGGTTTCAATTTCATAATTTCATTTAAGGGTTCTACTTCATTTCATCTTCAAAGATCAAGAGCTAATTTGGAATGGAAGGCCATATAATTTTGAAAAAGATTATAGGTCATATTGAAGCTCTACACTTAGAAATTTTTCTAAGTGTCAAAATCAATTTGTTTTTCATGATTTCAGATGGATATAACTCTCAGCTCAAGTAGCCAAATGGAAACTTTCAAAGCATATTATCAAGCTTGAACATTCAACTTTCTAAAGCATCCAATATTTTATCATAAAGGTCCCTGAGTAGTGAGCTATGCATTTTTGAAGTTGGCTCCATGGAATCTATTTTTTTGTTTCGAGTCAGAGTTTTTACCATGGTTAAACTTGGATTACAGGGAGAATCACTCAAGTTTAAGTTGCTAAACATGTTTAGCTGATTGTCCATATGCGTTTGGATAAGAATTGCACTTGGTGTGAGGTCGTTTTGATACATCTCAAGTCACACGCAACCACCTGGATTTGTTGCTCAGAAGGAGTCATCGAATATGGTTTGTAGGCTACACAGGTCTTTTTATGGTCTTAAGTAATCTCTGAGAGCTTGGTTTGGCAGATTCAACACTGTAGTACAACAATTTGGTATGGTCAGTAGTGAAGCTGACCATTCTGTCTTTTATCGTCACTCAGTCCAAGGGTGTATTTATCTTATTGTGTATGTAAATCATATTGTCATAACTGGTAGTGATGAGTCGGGAATGCTCAAGTTGAAACAACATCTTTTGAATCAATTTTAGACAAGGGATCTTGGTAAACTCCGATATTTCTTGAGTATTGAGGTAGTCCAATCTAAAGATGGTTTGTTGATTTCTCAGCGGAAATATGCTATGGATATTTTGGAAGAAACAAGTTTGTTGAACGCTAAATCAGTTGATACTCCTATGGATCTATGTGTCAAACTACTACCCAATCAGGGGGAGCTTCTATCAGACTCGGGAAGGTATAAGAGATTGGTTGGAAAGTTGAATTATCTCACAGTCACTCGTCCAGACATTTCTTTTGAAGTCTGTATGGTAAACTAATTCTTAAATTCCCCTTGTCAGGAACACATAGATGTTGTTATCAGGATTCTAAGATACATCAAATGTGCTCCAGGAAAAGATTTAGTGTATGAAGATAAATGACATACTCAGATGGTTGGATACTCTGATGCTGATTGGGCAGAGTCACCAATTGATAGACGATTCACCTCTAGGTATTGTGTACTTGTTGGAGGAAACGTTATATCCTAGAAAAGTAAGAAACAAAATGTAGTTGCAAGATCAAGCGTCGATGCAGAGTATAGGGCCATGACAATGGCAACATGTGAACTCATTTGGTTAAAACAATTTCTCAAAGAACTTAAAATTGACGAAGGAAGTCATATGACACTTGTATGTGATAATCAAGTTGCATTGCACATTGGTTCAAATCCAGTCTTCCATGAGAGGACCAAACATATTGAGATAGACTGTCACTTTGTCAGATAGAAGATTGAATCTGGAGACATTGTCACAAGCTTTGTCAATTCTAATGATCAATTGACATATGTCTTTACAAAATATCTGCGAAGCCCCGTAACTAATTATATATGTGGCAAACTTGGTGCATTTGACTTATATGCTCCAGCTTGAGGGGGAGTGTTGATATTTGTAAATATATAATATTAAGAATATTTGTATGTAGTATAGTCTCACATCGATTATATTGTGTAATTAGTTGTAATCTCTCTATATATAATAAAGTCTCCGTAATACTTTCAAAACACACGGTTTAACCTAAATATCTCTTAATCTCTCATAATTCAATAGTTTTAAAAATTAGCATAAAGTTGGACTATAAATGACTTTAAAAAATAGCATAAAGTTACAAGCCATTACACGCATACATAATATACTACAATTACAAACAACTCAAATATCAAATCAAAAGCAACAATTTAGAGATTTCATACACCATTATTAAAGTCCCAAAGTGCTGTAGTAAAATTCCATGTGGAGAATCTGAGTTGCACTTGAAGCTCAACACCTGACAAATCACATCGCCACACATTATCACTATACACTACAAAAGTTACATTCTTTCGAATTAAAGGATTACAACAAAATAGCCCCTAAGGATCCAGAACAATACCTCATCATAATTGGTGATTCTGAATTTAAATAATAAAGCATATGGAAAACAGTAAATATTAGAACCAAAATATAGGTTTTAGGAAGAAGAAGCACACCTTTATTACCACTTAGGATGATAACGGCTGAATTTTACTTGGGGTGCAAGCTGTTCTAACCATATTGTATCCTCAATAGAAAGGAGCCGCAAAATTGCATCTTGGCCACTTTGAATATAGAGAACCTCTAGCTTCTCCAAGTGCTCGATGCCAGTAGGTATACTCTTCAGTTCGCACTGTACTATTAACTCAAGCTTTGTAAGAGAAGGCAGTGCTCCTTTGTCGATGATAATATCTCTCATTGCATCCACATATCCAACATGCAGTTCCTTTAGTTTCTGAAACCATCCATCTTCAAAATGCAACTCTAACTCCTCGAAACACGGTGTAAAGCATATAGAGAGCATCAACAAGTTTTGCAAACTTTTTAGGGATTTAATTGGATCTATAGTGAAATAGGAGTGCATCAACTTCAATTGAACAAGATTTTGAAGCTTTAAAATCCACTCTGGCAACTTCTGTAGCCTCCCACTCAGTGTAAGTTTGCGAAGCATAGTTGGCATTGAAATCAGATGTAAATCAATGACATCATAGCCATTACCGGTCATACTTGATGAAACATATAGTTTCTCCAAGTAACACATTTCATTGATTGAGGAGGACAAAATGCTTCCATCCTGTGTGCGAACATTAACCAAACCCAAATCCCTTAGCTGCTTCAACTTCCCTAACTCTTTAATTACCTCTGCTACTCCATCCATACCTAAATCAACATATCGAAGTGTTTGTAGGGACGTCATCTTGCCAATACCATCCTTTAATTGGATCAAAGACAGTTCAGATTTACTAAGATGTCTTAACTTTCTGAGCTTGCTAATCTCCTTTGGCAACTCACGGATGGCACCCTTTACCTCCAAAGTCTCTAGGTTCTGGAGCATGCCAATTGATTTTAGGATTTTGTGTTGATGCCTGAGGTGTAAATACTTCAAGTGGATCAAACTTTCCAAATTCTTAGGAACATTCAACAATGGTGAAGCATATTCATAATCAAGAACCTTTAATAACCTGTATGTGGTAGGTGTAGGGATTCTCCTCTTACAATGTTTATATGGTTCTCCATTTTCAAAAAAAAATAGAGACCGGACAGGGAAGCCTTCAATATGCGGAAAAAAATCATAAGTGGTTGCTATTGATAAGCGCCGAAATTTTCCACTCAAGGATGACTGTCCAGCATCACTAATAATATGCTTGCAAAAATTTAAATCCTCATTTTTTTCAAGGATCATCTCGCGTATTAGATCATGAACACGACAACGTTTAACCTTACCATCAATTCGAAGCAAGGATACTTGCACCAAGCTTCTATGGATCAACTCTATTAAATATCCTTCTGCAACTTCTTCCAAAGTCTTCCCATTTTCCTCCTTCACAAACCCTTCAGCTATCCATTGTCGAATCACTTTCTTTGATCTAACAATATGATCTTCAGGAAATATTCCAAAATACAACAAGCATGGCTTGAGATGGTAAGGCAAATCATCATAACTTAAGCCTAAAATTTCTTGTATCCCAATTAAATGTGTACTTTTCAAAAGCTCTAAGCTTAGATTTTCATTAAATTTCTGCCACTCAAAAACATTTTTATCTTTTGCAGACAAAACACCACCAATGGCAACAATTGCTAGTGGTAATCCTTTGCATTTTCTAACAATTTCACAAGCTATATCATTCAGCTCCTTTGGACAACACCCACCATAGTCAAATTGGAATGCCTTCTTATTGAACAACTCCAAAGATTGTTCTTGAGTTAAAGGCTGCAACTCAAGCAATTCAACAAAAGAAGATTCTTTACAAGACATCACAACTTCTAGGTTTCTTGTTGTGATAAATATCCTACTTCCATTTTTATTATCAATTACAGCAAATTTAATAGCATCCCAAAAATGTACATCCCAAACATCATCAAACATGACAATATACCTCTTTTGCTGCAAGTAGTTTCGCACTTCTTTGGTCAATGACCCTCGATCCATTTGAGAAATATCCCTCGGAGCAATGTCTCCTTTTTGTTTGCAAAACTTTATCAGCATCTCCCTCAGCAAGTCTTCAACGTTATATGATTGAGATACTGTGATCCAAACATGAATATCAAAGTGGCGGACTACATCCTTGCTGTCAAAAACTTTCTTGGCAAGAGTGGTTTTTCCTTGCCCTCCCATTCCTACAACAGAAATTACAGTGCGCTCATCCCTTCCCTTTACCATCCAATCAATCAATCTTTTCCTTGGCTCTTTAAAGCCCACAAATTCAGATTCTTCGATGTAAAGAGCAGCCAATCGGGGGTCATGCCATTTGGAATTGCTTGGTCCTTGTTCAAGAGAACTTTGGAAGCCATATCTTTCACTTCTTTCCTTGATCCCTCGTACATCTGACTTAATGTCTTGAATCTCGGACGCTATTCGACGACGAGGGATAACAGTTTTGACCTTATGGAGTAAAGATAGAAAGCCAGGATGTAGAGGCTGCTGTCCCACCAGGATCATATAATCATCAATGATATCTTCAATGCGAAAAGCTGCTTCCCTAACTTGCTTCACCCATGTTTTGACTCCTTCAATTGTTGAAACTCTTTTATCAGCATCCTTAAGAAACGCTTGAATACATTCAAGTTCATCTTTAATGTCTGCAAACTCCTTGTCAATACCTCTCAACAACTTGGCTTCTTCCTTTAAGAGTGGAAGAAGTTGGTCAATAACTAATGACACAGCAATTTCCGCCATATGAGTTGAGATCTGATTATTGTTGTTTAGTGAGATGAAGATGAACGTACTACTACACTGTTTGTATTACTATGATGAATAAAAAATGAAGTTGCCTGTTATGCACTAAATGGGAATCTATAAAGCAGTCTTGTGATAAGGTAACAAATACCTCCACTTGTTATTATAACATCATTTCAATTAATTAAACAAAAAGGGCATTGCCCACTCTTAATTAAAAAAGATATCTCATTTTTTGTATTTTTGAGGATGCCTTTAAAAAAGATACCTCCTTGGATTTAGAGTACTATTGGTAGTAATTTCTACAGTGATCACACGCTCAAAGAACCAATTCCAATTCTCAGTAAAAATGTTCTCCCAATGTTTAACTCTAGTATCCAAAATCATTGAGTTCATCAGTATTCTTATACAATTGAACAGATAGTTTCTCCGAGTGTTGCATCTTATCAATCAAAGAAGATAGAATGTTTCCGTCTTCTGGGCGAACATTAATCAACCACAAATCCCTCATCTGTTTCAGCTTTCCGAACTCTTTAATTACCTCTGCAGCTTCATCCATATCTAAATCAACATTACAAAGCGTTTGTAGGGATGCCATCTCTCCAATACCATTCTTTAGTTCAATCAAAGAAATATCATCGCCGATAAGATGTCTTAGCTTTCTAAGCTTACTAATCTCTTTTGGCAAAAGAAGGGTATCTGTATATACCTTACTTCTAAGTTTCTAGGTTCTGGAGCATGCCAATGGATTTTGGAAGTTTAATATCCCCATTAAAATTGAGCCTTAAATAATTCAAATGGATCAAACTTCCAACCTCATGAGGAAGATGGAATAATTGTACATCTTCATAATCAAGAACCTTTAACAACCTGAATTTTGTAGGGATTCTCCAAAAAGACATGGATGGTGATGCATCATTTGTAAAATGTAAATTTTTGTCGGCAGCAATGTTAATGTTTTTGCTAAATATCTTAACATTTTGAGCACAACTGTTTTGTATGATGTCAAAACAGATGTCTTGACATCTGTCCACTGAATTGATCCCAGCCTAACATCATTTAAGTCTTTTTGTTTCCTGATTTCCAGCACTCTATATTTTAGAATTTATGATCTACAAGCTGCGAAAAATATGGAAGAATATTTTTCAAATTGCATAATTTTATCTTGGTCTGTCCTAATGGAAATATTCAAAAGACAAGCAACTTTTAAAGAAGAATACTTTCTTTCTGATTAGAAGTCTAGGCTTTTTATTTGTAATACACTCTAAGTATTAGATTAAATACTTGAGTTGTTATTTTAGTTGTTAATTGTGTATCATTCATAAGCTTTTAAGCATTGAATGATTGAAATGTTTCAAACTTATTGATTTTGTTAAGTGATTAAAGGGATTTGAGGTTGACCTCAAACCTAGGTGAGTCTTAGGTAGAAGTTTAACTTGGGTAGTGATTAAGTGATTAGATCGTAAACTGGTTGTTTACTGAGAGTCTATGAGTTGATACTATTTAGTGAACTTGTCACTGGCTTGGTAGCCTCCAGAGTAGGTGTTGTTGTACACTAAATTTGGTGAACAATCTCTTGTGTTTTTACTGCTTTTGATTTTACTGCACCTTACTTGCAAACAGATATTTGTGTCGTGACATCTCATTCGACATCACATATCTGATACCAGAATTTCAATTGGTATCAGAGCAGGCATCCTGCTCTTTATCTGGGTGAAATCCAGGGAAGATACTTTCTGGTATTATGGACAAGGAATGAGGATTTGTGAACAGACCACCCATTCTGGATGGAAGCAATTATGACTACTGGAAACCACGCATGGTTGACTTTTTAAAGTCCTTAGACAGTAAGGCTTGGAAAACTGTTTTAAAAGGATGGAAACACCGTGTCAAATTGGGAGGAAATGGAGAACCTACTTCTGAATTAAAACCTGGAGAAGATTGGTCTAAGGAAGAAGATGAAATTGCTCTTGAAAATTCTAAAGTCTTGAATGCTATATTCAATTGAATTGACAAGAACATTTTCAGGTTAGTGAATACTTGTGAAGTTGCTAAGGATGCATGGGGAATTCTTCAATCTACTCATGAAGGCACCTCCAAAGTTAAGATGTCAAGACTTCAGTTACTCACCACAAAATTTGAGAATTTGAGGATGAAAGATGATGAAAGTATAAATGATTTCCATATGAAAATCCTTGAAATTGCTAATGCCTCCAGTGCTTTAGGAGAGAAAATACCCGAAGACAAATTGGTGAGAAAGTTGCCCATGTCTCTTCCCAAGAGATTTGATATGAAAGTAACTACTATAGAAGAAGCCCAAGACATTGACAAAATGAAAGTGGATGAACTTGTTGGTCCCTTCTAACATTTGAATTAAGCATAAATGAAAGATCTGAGAAGAAAAACAAAAGCATATCCTTTGTATCTAATACTGAAGATGAAGAAGAAGATTGTGATCTGGATACAGATGGAGGAATATCAAATACTTTAGCTATGCTTGGAAGATGATTTAATAAAGTGATAAAAAGGATGGACAGGAACCAAAGATCAAATGTCAAGCACATCTCATCTGACATCTATAAGTCAAATGAGGTGGGAAGAAAAAGGGATGAAGAAAAATCTTCTCAAGGGAAGGAAATACAATGTCATAAATGTAAAGACTTTGATCACATTAGAGCTGAATGTACTACATATCTAAAGAAACAGAAGAAGAATCTATCTGTTACTTGGTCTGAAGAGGACTCAGAGAGTGATCTTGAAGAATCTGTCAAATATGTTAAAGCATTGACAGGCAAATATGTATCTGATGAAGAGTTTAGTGGTGGGGAACTAACTTTTAATGAGTTAGCTGCTTCATACAAAGAATTATGTCTCATAAGTGCAGAAGTGTGTCTTGAAGGGGAGAAACAGAAAGCCATCATAACTCAGCTGAAGAAGGAAAGGGAAGAGCTTCTTAAAACTATTTCTGATCTGGAAAGTGAAGTGTCCTCTCTAAATTCAAATCTTGATAGAATGGTCAAATCTCTCAAGATGCTGAATAATGGGTCTAACTCATTAGATGAAATTCTCCAAGCAGGAAGAGTGACAGGAGATAATAGTGGTTTAGGTTTCAATGAGAAAAAAGAACCTAACTCAGAAGATCCTTCATCCGTTTCCACTCATGCCAAGCCTAAACCAAAGATGTTGAATCAAATGTCTCAACATGTGGGAAAACATCATGGTAAGAAAGGACATCTTGGCAAACATCATGTGAAGAAAGAACAACATGGCAAACAACCTTCATCTGTTTCCACACATGCCAAGCCTAAATCAAAGATATCGAATCAAATGTCTCAACATCATGATAAGAAAGGACATATTGGGAAACCTCATGTGAAGAAAGGACATCATGGAAAACATCATGAGAAGAAAAAGCTTAATCACACCAGAGAGAATCCTTAGCCCTGGAGATGTCATCACTGTTGAAGTCTTGGACATATAAGACCCTTTTGTTTCAAGCTGTATGGGTATCCTAAAAATACTCCTCCCAAAACTGATAAGACTCCCCAAAATAGTAAAAAGGAGAAACAATGGGTTTCCAAGTCCAAAGTTGGTAGTTTCATTGCTCACACCTCTCTCAGAGTATCAACCAAAGATGATTGGTACTTTGACAGTGGTTGTTCTAGACACATGACAGGTGTCAAGAATATGTTGGTGGATGTAAAATCTCATTCAACCAGTTATGTGACTTTTGGTGATGGAGAAAAAGCAGAAATTAAAGGTGTTGGGAAGCTTGACTGTTCATGAGTTCCAAAGCTTGATAGTGTGTTACTTGTAAAAGGGTTAACATCTAACCTGATAAGTATAAGCCAACTATGTGATCAAGGATTCAAAGTTAACTTCTCCAAGAAAGAATTTCTTGTGTGCAATGAAAAGAATGAAGTTATCATGACAGGAATCAGATCTAAAGACAACTATTATCTATGGGTTCCTCAAGAGTTAAACCTCTCCTCAACATGTGTTTTAGCCAAAGAGAATGAAGTTAAACTATGGCATAAAAAATTGGGGCACTTGCATCTGAAAGGTATGAAGAGAATTATATCTGAAGAAGCAGTAAGAGGGATTCCTAAGCTCAAGATAGAAGAAGGCAGGGTATGTGGTAACTGTCAAATTGGAAAGCAGACTAAGATGTCACATCAGAAGATTCAACATCTTACTACATCAAAAGTTTTGGAACTTATTCACATGGATTTGATGGGACCTATGCAAGTTGAAAGTCTTGGTGGTAACAAGTATGTCTATGTTGTTGTAGATGACTTTTCTAGATACACATGGATAAACTTTATTAGATAAAAATCAGAAACTTTTGAAGTGTTCAAAGATCTTTGTCAAAAACTTCAAAGGGAAAAGGAAAGCCATGTCATAAGAATAAGAAGTGATCATGGAAAGGAATTTGAGAACAACAAATTTGCTGAGTTTTGCTCCTTTGAAGGAATCGACCATGAATTCTCTTCTCTCATTACTCCTCAACAGAATGGGATTGTAGAACGCAAGAGTAGAACTCTCTAAGAATCTGCCAGAGCCATGATTCATGCTAAGAAGCTACCCTATCAATTTTGGGATGAAGCAATGAATACTGCGTGCTATATCCATAACAGAGTCACCCTAAGGAAAGACACTTCAGCTACTTTGTATGAAATATGGAAGGGAAGAAAACCAATTGTTAAATACTTTCATATTTTTAAAAGTAAATGTTACATCTTAGCTGATCGTGAACAAAGGAGGAAGATGAATCATAAGAGTGATGAAGGAATATTCCTGGGCTACTCTACAAACAGCAGAGCATACCAAGTTTTTAACTCCAGAACCAAAGTTTTGATGGAGTCAATAAATGTTACTATTGATGATAGAGGATGGAATTTTGAAGAAGATGTCTCAGAAGATGTTGGAACATCTTTTCCTGATAGTCTAACTAAATCAAATGACACAAGTATTGATTCTAATCCTCCTTAAGAAGATCCCCAACCTAATAACCTGAATAAAGGACCTTCAATTAGAACTCAGAAAGATCATCCTAAGGAGCTTATAATAGGAGATCCAAACAAGGGAATTACTACCAGATCAAGAGAAGGGATTTCAAACTCTTGCTTTGTATCAAAAATTGAGCCTAAGAATGTCAAAGAGGCTCTAACTGATGAGTTTTGGATTAATGTTATGCAATAGGAGCTGAAACAATTCAGTAGGAATGAAGTTTGAGATTTGGTTCCAAGACTTGAAGGGACAAATGTGATTGGCACTAAATGGGTATACAAAAATAAATTTGATGAAAAAGGGTGGTCACTAGAAATAAGGCAAGGTTAGTTGCACAAGGATACACTCAAATTGAAGGAGTGGACTTTTATGAAACCTTTCTTCTTGTGGCTAAACTTGAATCAATCAGACTACTGTTGGGACTTGCATGCATTTTGAAATTTAAATTGTTTCAAATGGATGTAAAGAGTGCCTTCTTGAATGGGTACCTGAATGAAGAAGTTTTTGTTGAACAACCAAAAGGATTTGTTGATCCAAGTTTTCCTAAACATGTTTATATACTGAAGAAAGCTCTGTATGGATTGATGCAAGCTCCAAGATCTTGGTATGAGAGACTGACAAAATTCCTTGGGGGAATGGATATAGGAAAGGTGGAATAGACAAAACCCTATTTGTCAAAGAAGAAGAAGAAGAAGAAGAAGAAGGGAAGATTATGATTGCTCAAATCTATGTTGATGATATTGTTTTTGGTGGGATGTCAAATGAGATGGTGAAACATTTTGTCAAGCAAATGCAGTATGAATTTGAAATGAGTCTTGTTGGTGAATTAACCTATTTTATTGGTCTACAAGTTAAACAAATGGAAGACTCCATATTTCTATCTCAGAGCAAATATTCCAAGAATATAGTGAAGAAGTTTGGGATAGAGAATGCCAGTCATAAAAGAACCCCTGATCTCACACATCTGAAGCTGACTAAAGATGAAAAAGGAGTAAGTGTAGATCAAAGTCTCTACAAAAGCATGATAGGCAATCTTCTATATCTCATTGCTAGAAGACCAGACATTGCCTTTGATGTAGGGGTGTGTGCAAGATATCAAGTTGATCCTAAAATTAGCCATGCCAACCATGTGAAGAGGATTCTTAAATATGTGAATGGGACAAGTGACTATGGTATGCTATACTTTCATGGATCAAATTCTGCCTTAACTGGTTTTTGTGATGCTGATTACGCAGGAAGTGCTGATGATAGAAAGACTATATCAGGAGGATGTTTCTTTCTGGGAAATAATCTCATATCTTGGTTGAGTAAGAAGTAAAATTGTGTGTCTCTGTCCACTGCTGAGGCTGAGTATATTGCTGCAGGAAGTAGTTGTTCTCAATTGGTTTGGATGAAACAAATGTTATCAGAATACAATGTCAAACAAGATGTCATGACATTATTCTATAACAATTTAATTTCCATAAACATATCAAAGAATCCCATTCAACACAGCATGACCAAGCATATTGACATCCGTCATCACTTCATAAGAGAGCTTGTTGAAGAAAATATTGTTACCTTAGAACATGTAGCCACTGAATTGCAACTGGCTGACATCTTCACAAAGGCTTTAGATGCTAATCAATTTGAGAATTTAAGAAGAAAATTAGGGATCTGTTTATATGAAGGTTTGTAGCAATTAAAGTGTGTGGGAATATCATTAAAGTGATATTGTATTATTTGTGTTTCCAACAAATAAAAGTTAGAAAGAAATCATTACAAGACTGCCTCAATCTTTTTCCCACACGCTACAAAATTTCTTCTCTCTACTTTCACAAACTCTTCATTCTCCTCCACAGAAAAAGGACCCTTGCCATTCTTCACCACCTTGCTAAAAAATTCTCAAATATGTCTCAACATCACACATCATCTTCCTCAAAATTTGCAAATGAAAATATTTCTCTTGACAGAGTACTAGATGTTACTCCTCTATCAACGATCCCTCCACTTGAGAAAAAGGTAAAGAAACCTAGATCATCACCAGCTAAGAAATCTAAAGATGACAAAGGTAACTCTTCTACTGCTAGTGATAATAGAACTGAAGAAGAAATTATTAATGTTGATAGAAGCATCAGAAGGCTTGTGGACAAAGTATTAAATGAAGGATTTGTTGTACCTGGGATTTCTACTCCCCTTGCTCGCATGCCTCCTCCTACTAACAAAGGAAGTAATCCTAAAAATGATGCTGCTGAATCATCCAAGAAAGATGTTGCTGCCTCCAAGGATGGAGAAGGTCAAAATGCTGACAAAATAGTTAATGTAGAAGAGTTGTCTGACAATGAGCTCATCACTAATGTTGTACCTAATATTGCTAGAAGTCTAAAGTCCAGAAAAGTGAAAGATGCAAGTATCACACCCCCTCCCAAGACAATCAAGAAGAAAACTATGTATGGACCCCCAAAAGCATGAAGTAAAGTGGTCCCTCCTTCTAGCAAGAGAAAAGCTAGACCTGTTAGCTCTACTTATGATGATGAGGATGCTGTAAAAAGATCCAAGAGTAAGAATAAAGTTGTTCTAGTTGAAGAGACTGGCTTTGAGTATGATGTCGAGCAAGATGTCCAGGGCATCTCTCCTATCAAAAAATATGCAAGTAAGAAACTGTCTGTTAGGGTTCCTTATGCCCCATTTGACAACATCTCCTTTCACTCTGTTGGGAATGCTGAAAAGTTGAAGTATGTGTATCAAAGAAGGATTGCCCTGAAGAGAGAACTAGGAGCTGATGCTTTGGAATGTAAGGAAATCATGGAGCTGATCTCCTATGTTGGACTGATGAAAACAGTTACCAGGTTTACAAATTGCTATGAAACTCTTGTTAAAGAGTTTATTGTTAATATTTTTGTTGACTGTGCTGACCATAAGAGTAAGGAGTATAGAAAGGTTTTTGTTAGAGGAAAGTGTGTAGAATTTTCTTCTGCCATTATAAACAAATTTTTAGATAGGTCTGAAGATGTCTGTTGTGAGCTGGAAGTAACAGACAATCAAGTGTGTAGAGCCATTACTGCTAATCAAGTAAGTGAGTGGCCAATGAAAAATAAACTTCCTGTCAGCAAACTGAGTGTGAAATATGCTATTTTACATAGGATTGGAGCTGCAAATTGGATTCTCACTAATCACTCTTCAACCATCTCCATTACATTAGGAAAGTTCATTTATGCTGTAGGAAACCAGAAACTTTTTGATTATGGGACTTATATCTTTGATCAGACCATCAAACATGCAGGAACTTGTGCCATTAAGATGCCAATTGCTTTTCCTTCCTTCCTCTGTGGAATTATCCTAAATCAGCATCCTGGAATCCTAAGTGGAAATGATGTTGTGTGCAAGAGGAAGTCTGCCTTGACCCTCCATTTTAAGCTCTTTTCAGGAAAACATGTCACAAACATTGTTTTAACATCTGCACCTGTTGAAAAGACATCTACCAAGGATGATATGATCAAAGAGTTAAGAGAAGCCTGCAAGGAATTAGATGATGTGATCAGAGTGAGCTCAGCTAGGAAACTAATTTTTGAAAAAATGATCAAGGACCTGCAAAAGGATAACAACCTTGATGACACATTGAGCTCTGAAGGTGAAGACTCCAGTGTGGAAAGAAGTTTTTGTTCAACCAAGTCAACTGGTCCTGATGACAGTTAGACTACTTGATGTATCTCTGAACTCTTTGTTTCTTTTTTTGGCACTTGCATGTGCTTGACATTTGAATTATATGGTATGTAGCCTAATACTGATATTATCTTGAATGCATCCTTTCTTTGGCATATTATGACTAAAAAGGGGGAGAGAAAGTGAGTGAGTGACTGACTAACCACTGGCCACTGACCATTAATTGAGGGGGAACTCAATACTTGAGGGGGAGCCTCATGTTCCAGAAGATGTTTTGACATCTTCCTGTGCTAACATCTAATCTTCATGTGCTAACAGCTAACTGCTAACTGAATGCATGTTATGATTGTTTTGCTTATGCTGCTGCCCTGATAATACTCTGATAATTATGCTGCTGCTCTGATAATATGCTCTAATAATGTTTTAGCCAAAATTTGCCAAATGGGGAGTTTGTAAGTGTTTGTTGGCGGCAATTTTGATAAAACAATGACTTGTTAATATTTTGCTAAATGTTTTAACATTTGGAGCAAAACTGTTTTGTATGATGTTATAGCAGATGTCTTGACATCTGCCTACTGAACTGATCTCAACCCAACATCATTTAAGTCTTTTTGTTTCCTGATTTCCAGCACTCTATAATTTAGGATTTGTGATCTACAGGCTGCGAAAAATATGGAGGAATATTTTTCAAATTGCATAATTTTATCTTGGCCTGTTTTTATGGAAATATTCAAAAGATTTGAATATTTGTTTTTAAGCCCAAGCCCAAAGCTTCACATATGTAAGGATTTGCTTCCTTATTCAAAGACAAGCAACTTTTGAAGAAGAATACTTTCTTTCTGATTAGAAGTCTAAGCTTTTTATTTGTAATACACTCTAAGTATTAGATTAAATACTTGAGTTGTTATTTGGGTTATTAATTGTGTATTATTCATAAGCTTTTAAGCATTGAATGATTGAAATGTTTCAAACTTATTAATTTTGTTAAGTTCTTCACTGTAAGTGATTGGAGGGATTTGAGGTTGGCCTCATACCTAAGTGAGTCTTAGGTAGAAGTTTAGCTTGGGTAGTGATTAAGTGATTAGATCGTAAACTGGTTGTTTACTGAGGGTTTATGAATTGATATTATTTAGTGAACTTGTTCCTGTCTTGGTAGCCTTCAGAGTAGGTGTTGTTGTACACTGAACTGGGTGAACAATCTCTTGTGTTTTTACTGCTTTTGATTTTAATGCCCTTACTTGCAAACAGATATTTGTGTCGTGACATCTCATTCGACATCACACATCTAATACCAGAATTTCAAAAAAAAAAACAATGACCGAACATGCGACCTTTAAATATGCAAATTTAAATCATCAAGACCTATTCTTAATTCAGTAGTCACTAAGCGTCGAACAATTCCACTTAAGTTTGAATGTCCATCATCACTAATATGCTTGCAGAAGTTTAAATCCTCATTTTTTTTCAAGGATCATATCGTGTATTAGATCATGAACACGACAATATTTAACCTTACCATTAAATCTAAGCGAGGATACTTGCACCAAGCAACTATGGATCAACTCTGTTAAATATCCTTCTGCAACTTCTTCCAAAGTCTTCCCCCTTTCCTCCTTCACAAACCCTTCAGCTATCCAGTGATGAATCGGTCTATATGATCTAACTACATAATCTTCTGGATATATTGCAAAATACAACAAGCATGACTTGAGATAATAAGATAAATCATCATAGCTTAAACCAAGAATTTTTTTATCCCAATTAAATTTGTATCTTTCTTTAGCTCTAAACTTAGGTTTTTTCTAAATTTTGTGCCACTCAAACTCAGTTTTCTCTCTTGTAGACAAAATCCCACCAATGGCAACAATTGCTAGAGGTAAGCCATTACATTTTTGAACAATTTCATTGGCTATACCAGTGAGCGCTTTTGGACAGCACCCGTCACATTCAAATTTGAATGCCTTCTTATTGAACAGCTCTAAATATTCTTCTTGAGTTAAAGGTTGCAACTCAAGCACCTCAATGAAAGACGATTTTTTTTACAAGAAACCACAACATTTTGGTTCCTAGTTGTGATAAATATCCTACTTTCATTTTTATTATCAATTACAGCAAATTCAATATCATCCCAGAAATGTACACTCCAAACATCATCAAACACGACAACGTACCTCTTTTGTTGCAAGTAGTTCCGCACTTCATCAGTCAATGACGCTCGATCCATTTGAGAAATATCCATAGGAACATAGTCTCATTTTTCAGCATCCTTAAGGAATGCTTGAATACTTTCCAGTTCATCTTTAATGTCTGCAACAACTGAAATCATTTGCCAAGGCCTTTTAACTTTAATACAAGAATGCAAAATTAAGAGAAGTTGAAAGCAAGGGTAGTGTTGTTGCTGTTGCCATCTGTTGTGATGAGGGGTTTGTTCGGAGCAAAATAACGGAACCAAACAAAGCTGCCAACGAGAATCCCATGATTGAGAAATGAGATTTTCAAAAGGGTCAGACCAAGGTTACTTTACTCGTAGTTGCCACTAACTAACGAGGTTTGTGTCTTCATATGGGGAACACAAATAACAATTTCACACATGTTATTGCACGAGACAAAATCATGATTTGTGTTGATTTTATCTTGGCTTAATTTGAAAGCTTTTTAAGTTTTTTTCTAAGCAAATTTTGGCTCTTCATTATTATCCCCATTGGATAATCATCTCTTTTATTTTTCTTCAAATTTGTGTTCCCAAGAATAATGAGAAGTACTCATCCCAATCCTAAGGGGTGCCCTTTTACTTTCGGAATAAACCTTCATATGCATTTTAAATCACACTAATCTTCGTAAATTAGTCCCTCACTCCATTTTTGTAAAAATCTATTCTAAAGATGTATCTTCGTATATTATTTATAGTGTATTCGATAATGCATCTCTGTAAAATCCTATGTACTCATTAATTTATGATGTTTTTATTCACTGAGCTGGTTTATTTAACAATTCAGTGATGACTCTGGAGATGAATATCTAGAAATGTCAAGTAATAAATTGAATAAAGCACCACCTTGTATGTTCTTTTTCCTCATGATCAGAGTCAACTTCACTCTCAAAACTCTTAAAAAAATTTCTTCCATTCTCAATCAAATTTCAAGATCTTCATCATCTTCTTCTTTCGCTTGGTTGACGGGAGCATCAAAATCATATCGGATATCAGCAGTAATGTTATCAGTGATTTTGGGCATGGATCTGCACATTTATCATGTTTTGGTGCAGTTTTTGTTTAGTACGTGAATTTGGAAAATGCATATGAGAGAAAGTATTTCCATTTAAAAATATATACTATAAATGCAAAAGAAAAACAAGGATCTTATTTGAATACAAAACACATTTTTATTAATCATGAATATTGATTGAAATACACGGGGGACCCTTACAAACAACACCTATACCTCGGGCTTGACATAGGTTCTTTCAAAAACAAAGAAAGTTACTTTGGAAAGAAAATTTTAGGAATCTCCACAATTGTCCAGTTCTTCAACTCTTCGCCTGGGGTGCTTTCACGGATGTAATCTGATGCCCTTTTGATGTTGTTTTTGTGGGACACCATTCCCACTTATTCTCCATGCTCTACCCCTTTGCCGATGAAGGTTTTTTGGATTGGTGGAAACCGTGTTTTCCCTTTTAGAGTAGCCTTTGATGATTCATAGCTCAAACTAAAACGGTTCTTCTTCTCAAATATTTCGGGGAGCTTTCCCCAGCCTTTAGAGTCACCATTCTCTATTGTTATTTGTATGTCTCTCCATGAAGTTATAATAGGCTTTTTGACCTTTTCTACCGGTAAGATTATCATTGAAGCGACCTCCAATACTTGAAACAATGTAGCTATGCAATCTTCGTCAACACGGATATACCTGCAGGACTCATTGTGACTTACGAAGATTTCTTCTTCTCCACCAATTATGACTAATCTTCCTTTAACGAAGAACTTCAATTTTTTATGTAAGTTTGAAGTGACTGTCCCTGCCACATAGATCCAAGGTCGTCTGAGCAAACATGTATACGTCAGCTCTATATCTATGACTTGAAAGGTGATATAGAACATGTGTGGGACGATCTTAACGGGAAGGTCTACTTATCCGAATACTGTACTTTGAGAACCATCGAAATCTTTGACTATCGTGGAACTCGGTCTTATCACGACATCGTCTAATATTAACTTCATCAAGCTAGATTTAGGTAACACATTAAGGGTAAAACTGGTATCGATAAGTACCCTGGATAGACTCGTAGTACCTATCTGTATTGAAATGTGTAATGCTTGATTGTGAGCTCGGCCTTGTGTAGGTAACTCACTGTCGTTGAAACCCAAATAGGACCCAGACGTCAAATTTTCTACCACATTATCAATTTGGTTCACAGTGATTTCTTCTGAAACATGAGCAAAACTTAAGACTTTCATCAAAGAATCCCGATGTGCTTCTAAATTGATGAGCAACGAGAGTATGGAAATCTTGGCTGGAGTTTGGTGAAGTTGGTCCACCATCCTATAGTCACTTCTCTTAATTATCTTCAAGAATTTGTCGGCCTCTTGGTCAGTGAAGCTTTTGTTTGGAGGCTCTTGATTCATCTTTTCTACTATTTTTCCTTTCTCTTTTGTCAACAAGTCATTTTTGTTTTTCAACACATTGTCATTCTTCTCCAATGGTTTAGTTCTGAACATTCGGCCACTACGGGTTATGCCCCATGTCCCTGCTATATTTGAAATTGCAGGTTCTTGACTTGGTGACGGCCCACATTCTTGTTTCGAGCCATTGAAATATACAGCCGGATCATAACTCCATGGTATTTCCTTGTCACTTTTGTAAGGGATAGGAGATGGCCCTTTAATTACCATCGTAGTCTTCAGCGCTACTAGTATTTTCAGAGTTTATTTTATTGTAGGGGTTTCTATTGAATCTCCCCACGAGATCACGAGAGTTTTCTTGTCATGATTTAGCCTTTGATAAGGAATTACCAACGGTTTCTTCACACTTCCTTCAATTGCTGCTATATACTTAACTTCAGGGTATGGTCCGAATTGGACTATCCCCTGATCCATAAACTTTTATAAGGTCTTTTCGAAAGCTTCGTTATGTTCAAGAAGGAATCCACATTCTAACAGATATTCTTTCAACAGATTTATTGGAGGCTTTGCTTGTTTGCCTTCCCACAGTCAGTGACTACTTCAATCGAATTTATTGTCGAACCACCATGCGGAGGCATGGGGTTTGATTTGATGTTCGGATTTTCGAAGGTGATATCTTGGGCCTCCAATAAGTCTTGAACCTTATGCCTAAAGGCCCAACATTTCTCTAGGGTATGGTCTAGAGAATTTGCATGATACTCACATCTAGCGTTGGCATCGTATCTTGGTGGGAGTGCCCCAGCCAATGTAGCTAGAGGTTTGAGCTCTACCAAAGACACTTTGACTAAGTGTTGTAATAGTTGGCTATGTGGCATAGGGAGGGGATCAAACTTCCTCGGAGGTTTGTTAAACTTGTTCTATTACTACTGCTCTCGTGGAATCATCAATGGTTGTTGTGCTCTTGGTTGTGAAGCCACAACATTAACTTCACCTTCCTTCCTTTTTGTAAAATTAGGGACCGATCTCTTTGTATTGAAAGGGGCATTTTATGACCCCCCCCCTTAAATCTTTCCATTCTTTATTCCTGTCTCAATCCTTTCTCCAATAGTCACTAGGTCCGAAAATCCCGAAGAGATGATTCCTACCATCTTTTCATAGTATACCCCTTGTAGGATTCCCATAAACATGTCGACTAGCTCTTTCGCCAGAATGGTGGTTGCACACAAGACGCCATCTCCCTCCACCTTTGAGCGTACTCTTTGAAGGACTATTCCTTCTTCTGGGATAAGTTTTGGAGTTGTGTACGGGTAGGCACCATATCCAGGTTATATTTATACTGCTTCAGGAATGCATTGGTGTGATTGGTGGGAATGAGAACTGACTGTTTTGGAATTCTGGTTCGCGTTTGCGTTTGTTTTCGCAAAATGTCACAGTAAGCAAGAGTCTCCACCGTCTTTTATTTTATCCAACAAGGAAAGGACAAAAGCACAGAAAAATTCCTTTTCGAGACGTTTCTCGGGTTCGGGAGGTAGATTATAGAAAGGGAAGGTGCCCCTTTCTATCCGTGGTTATCCACGGGCTCTTAGGTACTTGCTCACTATGTTTTCAAAAGTTTGCTTTTCTTTGTTTTTGTGGGTTTTGAAAAGAGTTTTGTTTTTGAAGAGAGTGTAAGTGCGAAAAGTTTTGTTTTGTTTTTAAAAGGAACAAGTACTTAAGAACCTCTACCTACTCAAAAAGGAATTAAACTGTGCAAATGTCCTTTAGACAGTGCTATCCCACTATTGAGGAGTAGGTAGCACCGTCGTTGGAGTTTTCGGGTCAATTCGGTTTAAGGGACGTGTGGTCACTAAAGCAACGTTAGGACGCCTTAGTGGTAACCCTAATGTCTTAGATCATTTTTATCGAGGCAACCATTTCAAGGCAACTTTGATCTTTGGACAGGAGGGCGACCTCTAAGACTTCCTATACTCAATGACCACGTTTGAGGCAACCAAGTGAGGCGTACCCTAAGAGTGACATGTGCGAGTGTGTCAATTTTCAGTTTATATTATCTTTGTACATGTTATGGTGAGCTACGGTTGATTTAAAGGTTAATCTTGTCATGCAATCCTAGTTAGCATACATCTAAACAGTTAATATATGTACAAGAATTTAAAGTGCGGGAATTGTAAATCCTACGCTATTACAAAGCTTCGGGGAGGGGGATTATTTACATGTCCAAAAATTGGGGGAATAAAAGCAGTAAAGTGTAAAAGTCTTAGTCAAGCTATCACAAACCAGTAGGCAGTTATAATAAAATAAACGCGCGCGAATCTGAAAATAACCTCTAAAAATCCTAAGAATAAAATCTTTTGTTGTTTTATTTTATTTTGGGAAAATGACCTAAATCCACTTCATTTTAGTTTTGAGAAAATGATCTAAATCTACTTAATTTTAGTTTTTTTTAAAAAGTTAAGATAATTAAAAGATTAATTAACAAAGTTAATTTAATAGAAAACAAAAAAAAAACTAGCCTAATGTTTTTGTGTTTTTTGATTTTAATTGATTTTATGTTGATTAAAAAAAAGAATAAAATAGTCAAAATAAGGATGAAAAACGAAGGAAACAAG